GTTGAGTTCATTCAGGAGATCTTAATGGATCAAAAAAGAATAAGGGAAGCTTGTTTTAAAAGCTGAATAGCAACAAAATTATTTTGGAGTTTTGTATCATGATAATTATAATAAATAGCAAAAATTTTAATGCCTTTAAAGTTTTCACACAAAACACGGAAAGTTTTGAACTTTTTAAAGTGGAAATTCATTATTTCTTCTCCACTACAATTTCACTTGGAATTTGAAGGTACTCAAATCCCATGTTAAAATATTATTAGAATACAAATTGTCATTCAAGGAGGGAATTGGTTTTAATTTAGTAAATAGAAATTTAGCACCCACAATGAGTTAATTTCTGTGCTATGCACTAGGGACGCAATGATAAAGAAACCGTGATTTTGTTTGGTGAAGTTTTTTCCTCCCATCAAAGAGCTTCCTGTCAAGTGAAAAATTCAATAACTCAGTAGAGTTAATGCCAAGAAGTAAATGCTGTGTTGTGGTTACACTAAGTAAATTATGGAAGTCAGGCCCACTTCTTTCCCTCTACACAGATTGGATCAGCATGAGTGATATCACTCTCATCTGCTTTTGTTTTCATGTGGACCTTTGGGCTGGGAGTCTAGTGAGGACTAACTTTTCACTACTCAAGTACGGAGCATATACTTAGCCATGGGTTGGACTGTCGTTTCTGCCTGGAGTTCCTAATCATATAATTTACAAAGACAAAGTTTTTTTAAAAGCCTAATAAATCAAAGAAAGGAGCATGGTTGGCTGAGTCAAAGGTTTGGCAATAGCAACCGCTATGAATAGGAAACTGAATAAAAACATTAAATAGCCATCTGCTAAAATAATAATAAAAATATATTTGTTTCATGTTTAATATGTTTAATAACAAGGCCATGAATAAGATGTGTTCAAATCCAGAATTGGTGGAAAGAATATGAGAGTTGGATGCAGAGTTGCTAGCTGCTCTTTTTTTTTTTTTTTTTTTTTTTTTTAACTTTTCTACATTTCCTGTAAGAGGTACACTGAAGACTGAAGAGCATCACACTGCTTGATTGGCATCCTCTAGGACTAAATGACTGGTCTACTGAGGCTGAGGCATCAGGTGGCAGGGAATCAGAAGCATTACTATGACTCTTCTCAATATCTGATTTCTGAACCTTCCACTGCTCTAATATAGTTTATATACTTCTAATGTAGTTCTGTATAGTTCAGTGCTACTTAAAGTGTGATCTTGCAGCCTCATGAGAGACCTTGTTAGAAATACAAATAATCAAGTCTCACCCCAGACTTAATCAGAATCTTTACTATATAGGCCCTGGAACTTGAATTTTAACAAGCCCTCAAGGTGATTCTGATCCTTAAATTTGAGAAGCATGGCTATCAAAGGGCATATGATCCTAAGAATTTATTCTGCCATTCATGAAAGTTCTTGCTCCCCACAATTAATCATCCATTTCTCTATTCCCTATCTATTCCCTAAATTTCTTTTTACTTTTTCCTCTTTTTGTATGAATTATTCCAATTCTATTACTCATCTTGCTCCCCCTCCATGTCAAAAGACTCTCTCTCTTTCTCTCTCTCTCTCTCTCTCTGTGTGTGTGTGTGTGTGTGTGTGTGTGTGTGTGTAGTGCTCCAAAACCATTTTTTATGGTGACCTTTTTCTCTCAGGCTAGTATATGCACAAGCACAAGTATTTATTTGGAAGGAATCGGAGCTACAAGAAATGGTTTTGGAGCACTTTAATATTGCTCTTACCCAAATCTGACCCAATTCAGCTGAGGATATTACTATATAAAGCCTATTAAAAGCAGTATAGTTTATTTCAAATATAGGAAACTATATAGAGTCTTTTGACATGGTAGGATAGCCAGATGAGCAATATAATTGGAATAATTTGTCCAAAAAAAAGTAAAAAGTAAAAAGAACTTTAGGAAATAGAGAAATGGGTGATTAATTGTGGAAAGTAAGAGCTTTCACAAATGGCAGAATAAATTGTTAGGACCATATACCCTAAATGCTTTTTTGGAACCAATAGAGGATATAACATTATTCATGTATATAAACACACACCTTTAGAAGCAAATGAACATTACCAAGAAGATAAAGCACCAATAAATGCTCAAACTTCTGTATACTTCCTTTAGGAATCAGGAACATAGAAGATCTAAATGACACCAAGCAAGAAAGCAAAGCCCAATGACAATCTAGTTAGACAAGGCAAATCTATGCATACTTTTCATTCATTTAGGAAGGATCTAGCAATATCTTACTATGCACCCAGCACCATGCTAATTTAGAGAGAGAAGGCAGTGAAGCAAATAGGAACAATTCTTTCTGTCTTCAATTTTAGAGCCTTGTCACTGAGGCAGGAGACAGACACTCTACACCTCTACCCCTCCTCCCTACACCTCTAAAGTACACACTAGGTCATAGACTCTGATGGCAGAGGGACCAGGGTTTGTATTTTTACTCTATCACTGACTAGCTCTTTAACCTTGGACAAATCACATCTTTAAGCTTCAGTGTCTATAATAAAAAGATAATAATAGACCCCAGTATTTGACTTATTGTGAAGATTAAATGATTCATGGTAAATTGCTGACTCATTGCCTAGCACATAGTAAGTACTTAATGTTAATATTTTACTGTATAAGTAGATATACTTTTTTAATTGAAAGAAAAACACAAGGTGTTTTGAGAATATATAACCAAGGAATCTAATTAAGATTCCATACAAATAGTGCAATGTGATACTGAACTAAAACTACCCAGTTTTCTGCATACTTATGCTTTCTGTAAAGTATGTGGAGTTGAGGCTTCCAGGGACTCTATATGAGACTGCCAGCTTTGGTTTTCCTAATCTGACATTAGTAAGGTAACACTGACCAATTCACCCTGGTTCTGAAGCAGAATCGTAACATAAAGGACTGCCTGACTTACATTGCCAGTATGTCCCCTGGTCTTGTTGGCTGGAAATGTTATTTTCATACAACCATTTTCATGTTTTAGTTGAGCAGCATGGAAACTATCCAGATTCCTTGCTGTTTGGCAAATGTTTTAATTGGTTATGTTTTGCTACCCTGGGCACACTATTAGAAAAAATTGCAACAAAAGACATCAATAAAAAGCAGAAAGCTTCAGATTGTTAAAATCGTGAATGTTATTAATACTATTAAAATGCTAATTGCTGTTTAGAGGAGATTCAGTTGCAATTCTAAAGGAGGAAATGCTTAGGCTGCAGGATCTGAGGCATGGATTGTTTGTTCCCTAAAGGGGAGAAAATTCACTTTTGTTTAATTTATATGAACAAGAAGGCATTCCAAGGAGGTACGCTGAAGTGACTGTAGACCTCCGAGGGTCAGAGCCACCTTCAGCTTCACCCCCACCCTAGGTGGTCCTTAATTGCCACTACAGACTGCCTGGCTGGAACTTATTGTTTGCACTGCACATGACCTTGGATAAAAACTAGAGCGCTATGAATTAATCCCTGTAATATTTTGTGTTTAACATCTGTGTTGTCACCAGCCATTATTCAGAGGATTAAAAAAAAATAGCCAGATCTATCTCCTACTACATTTTTTTTTAAGTCTACGCTATTGTTTCCCAAGGACTCTTCAAATGGATCACTTAGAAATGAGTGAATCCATTCATTTTCTTTATTTTCTGAAACAAAAGTCTACAGAATTTAGGGGATAATAGCAAAACAAAATAAGACAATTTTTTAAACAATAGGAATCCCTCAGATATCTCCATTTCCTCTATCTATATTGCTATCATCTGTCTTTTCTTTTCCAGTATCTGTTTTAAAATAGGGGAGGATTCCAAAGCATATATATCAAAATAAAATGATTTCATGTATCAGTTACGGCTTTATTCATTGATGAAATGTAGTCACCACAGGGAGAAATGTAGCAACAACTTAGCATCCAGAAATAATACAGAACACTGTGCTGCATTAAATGAAAAATAACTGCAAGAGGAAGTGAGTTAATAAAAATTCAATTACTCAAATGGGAACTTTTCCAAGACCCCAGGGTTAACACCTAGATTAAACTCTCACTCTCACTCTCTCTCTCTCCACACACACACACACACACACACACACACACACACGCATGCATGTACACACACACCTGGCTTTATTAATTGTCAGAAGTGTTTTAAATACTTCTTTTCCTTTTATATAAATACAAGAGATAAAAGTTACGGCTAAAATAGTTTTTATATCATCAACCTGAGAACTAGTTTTACATAGTAAGCTAACAATAACAACAACAATAATCACAAAGATTAGAAAGAAAATGGCAAAGTGTGTTGGACACAACATAGAACACTTGAAGGCAGACCCCAACACTAGGCTGTAAAAGTAAGTAATAAACAGTCACTGTAGAGGGCAGAGTGACTCACAGAAGAGGCAGATCATTGGTCTTTGATTTCATACTTCCTTCTTAGAGCTTCTCTTAGAGGTTATGGAAAGGAATGATCATCCTGTGAGGCTATTTAGGGAATCTGAACATAAAAGAAAATAGAATTACAGATGGGTGTTAAGAGACCATTTTACTCTACTTCAATGATGTGAAAAACAGAGTAATTAGCACGGAGGAAAAAAAATAAGTAAATATGGGCCTAGAATACATCCTATACAGAACTTGAAATATTTTTAGAACTCTAATGTGTACTGAACTTATGTGGAGAGAATAATTTCAGAATGATACCATATTTAGCTGGGGAGCCATACAGACTGGGCTCTCTTAGACGCTGATTATGGGAAGCAAGAAGTGAGCAGCATGGAAAAGAAATGGTAAGAATTTAGTTGGAGGAGGAAGACATCTGGAGGTTTGGCCCCAGTTAAAAATTCATAGGCAAATCCTGCTGGAAAGGGAGTTAGTGGTTTAATGAATAAGTTATTATCTAAACACCAGGAGGTTAAAGGTTAACAGAAAGAACTCCAACAATGATGTCTTAAGTGCTCCTAACTTGACACATAATGTTTAGTTTGTTGCCATTTGTTCTGAGTGTTAGTTTTAAATAGACTATTGACAAATTACAGATTTTTTTCACATATTGAAATTATATTCCAGATGATTTTGAGATTTACTGGTATAATATTCTCCTCATGAGGTAGGATGGAGGGTAAGGAATAGAGAAAAAAGTGTTCTTCTCTGAAATAAATGTGGTGTTTCCTGACAGCATTTGTCAAGGTAAGGCGCTGTCTTTAAAATGGGACATCTAGTTTCAATTTACATTATGCTTATTTCTAAGACTTCTATTTTTTTGAGTTTTATGAATTGATTCTCTTTTCCTCTATCATTTATTCAGATTATGACCACATGTGGCACTTTCTTGTCTGGAGTGGTGAAAGTGGGGAAGGAAGAGAAAAGATATCTTACAGTAGTGTCATATAGTAATCCCAATAAGATTGGAGTTTATGAAAAAATCATGAGATAAAACATTATTGTGATATTTCTTATACCAAACTACAATTTTCATTCCCCCAATTATTTTTATGTTTTAAAAATGTTTTTCCCTCTTTTTGTCAAAGGCAGTCTCAATAACAGTTATCATATCTCAATGTTTATGTTCTTAAGGCTTTCAATATTATTAACCAATCTTTCCATTTCTTTACTAGATCACAAGTTTTAAAGAGTGTATTTTAATATAATACTCCTATTATAGGCCTATAAAATATTTAATTAAGAGAATATAATTTTCTTACTACGTTGCTGTGATTATTCATACCCCGCTCCCTCTTCCCAGAACACTTACTTGCTCCATTAGAATCTTACACAGGACCCTTTCTTTTCCTGTCATAATTCCCATCATAATGTGTTATCTCACAGCCACTTTTTCGAAGTATATTTCCTTAGACTTAATAAGATTAAGAAAAGAGCAGTAACTAAGGCTTCTACCTCTTAATGAAAGCTTCCTTAGCTTTACAAATACCAGACCAGATCTCTGAAGTTACTGCTTGAAAAGACCTGATTCTAAAGCACTTTTATCCACATTTGACTCTCTCGAGGCATTTGTTTTTTTCCACTTCGACTCATTTAATTGCACATGTCCCCAGTCAGACTGCCTAAAGAGAATGACTGTGTCTATCCTGGTCAGTTTTTACTCCAGCACTTAACACAGAGTCTCAAATAATGCAGGCGAATAACAGATACTTGTTTTATTAATTCAGACTGTACATAATATAGAAAACAGAATCAATCCTCAACGTAATCCATTCTGCTTAATTATAAAGTAATAATTTAAAATAACAATAATAATGATGATGATAGTTAACATTTATCAAATCTTCCCTAAGTATCTCAGACTTTTCTAACCATTTTATACAGATTAAATATCACAAGTCTGAGAGGTAAATGTTATTTTAATCTTTACTTTATAGAGGAGAATACTGATCACAGCAAGTTTGAGGACATAGTCTTTAGTCAAACATCTAGTAAGGGGTAGAGGTGATACTGACACTGTGTTAACACTTTTAAGCCTCTGATGTTTTATTTGTAAAGGAACTGCTTAATATATCTAAATAACTAAACCTCCCTTGCATTCCTTTTACTACCTATCATACAGTAACTATTTCAATGAGATCTTTATTATGCCTTAATATTCTATATTTCTCTTCCTAATTTTCTTTCAGAGAAGTGAACTGTATACAAATTAACTATCTTAATCATTTTCGTTATTATGTATGCCCCTATTCATTTGTTAGAAAACTCTTTTCTCTTAATTATGTTCTTTTCTCACAATAAATTGGTTAAAGCTCAGATTATACATATTAGTTTCTTAATTTCTTCCTGCTAAGATTAACCCATGACTACTTTAGAAACCTTCAGATTTGTCGTTGCAAACTTGAACTGCCTCTGGTTAATTGGTTCCTTCTACAGTTCTTCCTTTTACCACTGACTTGCAGTTAACTCCAGTTATTGAGCAGCTCCTCACAAAGTCATTTGATCTTTGAATCCCTCTTTTCTGGAATACATGCAATCTGTTATGCTTTAATTAGCAGGATTATCCTAGGCTATACCTGTCTTCTTCACAAACAGAGTTTCTACCTCATATTACTTCTGATGATCAATAACTGGCTTTCTTAGCATCTAACACACTGGAAATTCTGTGTACTTGATCCCATTTTTAACAGTGCCAAATTTAAATAAAATGTGGTTTATGTGGCAAGGATATTTATTTTTTCTATTTTTTAATTAGTTTTATGCTCTCAGTAACTAATAGATCAAGATGCATTTCATACCCCTTAGAAACCTGTAGTTTCTGTGTGGTAGAAGATTTAAATTATATTGTTATTTAGGGAGATGTATTTTTGTTCTAACTGATTTTTTCTCCTCCAAATCATAAAGGCTTTGTAAATCACTCTCAACATTTTATGAAAGTGACTTGCAAAATAAGATACTTAAATGAAAAATCTTAGCTGTCAGCCACCAATAAAATAGGCTCTATTGTCTGGGGTCACTCAGTTGTACAGTGTCATTTGGAAGTGCAGAATCCTTGGAAACTTTTCTTTAGTATCACCAAAAGTTTTGGAAGTCCATATACACATTCCTGGTATTGATGCAGACTATCTTTGCAATAGTAAAGTATTTTGCTTGAGACATTGAAGACTTATCTTGTTCTTTAAAACAGTATAGATTGCTTAATTCAGCCAAGATATTTCAAAAGTTGGAAATTATATTCCTCTATACGTGACCAACAATATATTTGTAATTTTGAGTGAAATTTTGTTTCTTACACATGAACTGACAATGCATCTTCTGATCAGTAAAGAAGGTTAATTTTGTTAACTAAATGCCCACCATGTTAAATCTATTTCTGATATTCGAAACAATTTACAATGTCTACTACTTCTAATTCTAAATGTGTAAAATGCTCTAAAAATGTACATTAAACGCTCATCACTACCTCTAAAACCTGCCTCCATTGATAGCAACCTGATCCATTTCACTATCATTGCTTTCCCATATTACTAGTATGATAACTAGTTGCCTTATTATACCCATGATGTATTCCCTGCAATCTGTTTTCAACATAGAAGTCAAGTGAGTTCATCCCTTCTTTGCTCAAAACTCAAGGACTTCCTATCTGAGTAAAAGACAAATTCCTTTTGATGACAAGATTATTTTTATTCTATTCTTCTGTAACTTCTTTGACTTCACCTTCTTCTAATTTCCTACTTACTTACTCTTCTCCAGTGCCATTGGCTTACATGTGCCATTTTTTTATTCCTTTTCTTTTCTTCTTCGTCTTCCTCTTTTTTTTTAATAAAAAAAAATTACAGACAAAATTCTTTTCCCTTGTTTTTCTTTCTGTGTAGAATGTTGCTCCCCTCAGAAGGCCCACTTCCTCTCCCACGATAAGAGAGAAAAACAGGAAGGGTAACTTGGAAATAAGTTAGTTTTAGAAGCAGTGAACATGTAATATTTAATAATCTAGGATTGAATTACGATAGATAGTTCTTAATATATAGGATTATTTTCAATATCAGTCAACATGAAAATTTGAAGATAAATGCTTGATGTGATGTATAATACAGACTATCCTGCTTGATATGTACACCAATCCCCTTCTAGTGTGTTTTCTTCTGCTGTAAAGACTGGAAAGATTTTTTTATTCTTATTTTTTTGAGACAGAGTCTCGCTCTCTTCCCCAGCCTGGAGTGCAGTGGTGCAATCTCGGCTCACTGCAGCTCACTGCAACCTCCACCTCCAGGGTTCAAGCAATTCTCCTGTCTCAGTGTGGCTATTTTTTTTTAATTTTATTATTGTTTTTTAGATGAAGTCTCACTCTGTTGCCCACATTAGAGTGCAGTGGTGCAATCTCAGCTCACCGCAACCCCCGCCTCCTGGGTTCAAGCTTTTCTCCTGCCTCAGCCTCCCGAGTAGCTAATATTACAGGCACGCACTATCATGCCTGGCTAATTTTTGTATTTTTTTGGTAGAGACAGGGTTTCACCATGTTGGCCAGGCTGGTCTCGAACCCCTGGCCTCAAATGATGCACCCACCTCGGCTTCCCAAAGTGCTGGGATTATAGGCGTGAGCCACTGCTACCGGCCACTAATTTTTGTATATTTTAGTAGTGATGGGGTTTCACCATATTAGCCAAGCTGGTCTTGAACTCCTGACCTCAAGTGATCCATCCCCCTCAGCCTCCCAAAGTGCTGGATTACAGGCATTAGCCACTGTGCCTGGCCAGGATTTTTTTTAACTCAATGTATAGTTTCACTTATAATGATGGTTTTGGAAGTAAGACTTTGATTTGGAGCTTCATAGAATGAGAGGCAGGAGAGGAAGTGTCCATTTTGCTGCTGGAGAGTGAAATATTGGTGTGCAATTCTGAAGTAGCAAATATAGTTACAATGTCCCAATTCTATAGTCAGCCTTCTGATTCCACATCTTGCCTAATCATAGTTGGCTGAGGCAGCAGTTTCCTTGATGGTCAAGTTCTAAAGTGTGGCTTTGTGACTAATTGCCTGTGATGAGTCCCTTTGTCTTTAAAGTAGAACAGATTTTGTTCCCTGTGACACTACTGACTGAAACAGTTGGTGTGTTTTTTAAAATTTTTTTCTTAAAGTGCAGAAGATTGTATTATCTGTTAAAATATGACTTAATCTTTGTGATCTGAACATGATACAGAACTTTGGGAACATGCCAGCATACAAAAATATTATTGTTTAATCATGACATTTAAACTAACCCTCTACCAAGATAAAAGGATAAGGTGATGTACTAGTAGAGTAGAAATCCACTAGATTGGTTCAAGTTTATAGAGCATAAAGGAGTACTACCTTTTGTAACCTCTTTGATTCTTTTCTGCTTTTGCAGAAGGAAAGGTTAAAAAATAAAGCACTGATGGAAACACACGATAAATAAAGTAGGTGTCATGGCTACATGTCATGAGAAAACTACGCACAACATTAGAAAGAGGAAAATGTGTCAAACATATTCAGTTAACTATACTATGTTAAGATTAAAATATACTATTGTGCTGGAAACACAAAACATCAAGTGTTTCACAATATGATAAAATATTTTCATCCTTGCTAGTGACTCAAATAAGTATGTGTTCGTTGCCATTTACAGAAAGGGCATGTCTTGTTATTTCTCAATATTATGAGTATGTCAAATGCATCTTCACATACGTGCAAATAAAATCTTGAGCAGGTCATCATTTGGACAATGATTTTGTTTATTTTCACAATGGATATGCAAATTTAGTTATACATACATACATATGAACAAAACATACATATAAACAAATCATCATTATCATCATCATCATCATCATATCTTCCTTAGGTTTTTAATGGGCACCTATTTGCTTTTAATTTCATTATGTAATGGAATTCAGATAAAAAAGCAAATGGCTTCTCATTGTAACCAGCTTGAAGTATGTTTAAAAAAAGAAAACATACATTTTTATTTTATAGTTTACTGGCTGGCTATCTACTATCCACCATCAGAAGTAATAGAACATAATTTAGCATCCTGGAAATTATATCTAAAAAAGATATTGCAGTAATCTATGATGGATATATATGATTTAGCAGAATCATCTGAGACTAAAACATGCAATTTAATATAAAGCAAGATAAACTTGATATGATCATCAACAATGTAATGAAGTTTGAGGCTGAAATGCCAGAATTATAATATTTAAAACAAAAGATAATAATTTTATTATAGTTAAATAATACATTTAGTTCTAAACACTCTATAAGACACACACACACAGAGATGGATGGATGGATATCCAGATCGATAGATAGATAGATAGATAGATAGATAGATAGATAGATAGATAGATAGATAGATAGATATTCTCCTGGAATATTTTTAGGCAAGAATAATCAGTATAACTAAAATACCTGAAACTCTGAAAGCTTGCTTTGCCCAGAAAAAGGAAGGTGATGGTAGAAAGGATGAGGAAATAGTTGCCAGGTATGAAAGCAATTTGACATGTTTAGTCTCAATTAAAAAAAAATAACTTTCTCTTAGAGATGTCAAGAAGTAAAATATACTTAATCAAAGGGTAAGCTATCTGTCAGAGGAGCTGTTCAAGCAAAATTTATTTGACAAGTGGGTTGAAATGATTCAAAGGAAAGACCGACCTCTGAAATCTGTGGGACCAAATGAACTTTAATTTCCCTTTCAACATCAAAATACTATGCTTTTGAAATGCACATTAAAATAAGCATACAAGTCAATAAATGCCAGTCACCAAATAATTTGTAAGTGCTAAGAGAGTTTAGAGACGGGAGAGAAAATAACTTCTATGGTGGAAAAAAAGCCTCTAAAAAGTAATGGGATTTTAATTGGACGTTTAGGGGAAAAGAAGAAGAGTACATGTTGCAAATATTCCAATAAAGGGAAGACGTTTGATCAAAGATAAGAAAAACCCAAATATGTGTGGAATTTTCAGGAGAAACAAATGATAAAATGTTCCATTTGTATAGTTTATACCAATTTTCAACATTCAAAACAAACATTACACATTTTATTCTCATAATGCCCCTGGAAGGAAATAATGTTACCTACACTGCAAAAAGAAACGAAAACTTAGGCTGGTCACAGTAAAACTGCAACTTGGACCTGTACTTTCTAACTTGCTTACAAGTGTTCATTCATTCTACTCTATCTTAAATGACATTCCATGGAGCAGAGTGTATTTTTTTTTCATAGTAGATGTATATATGAGTCATACATCTTGGAACTTGCAAAGAAGTTCTAAATTTTGAGCACTGAGGTAATACATATTTATTGTTCCACAATTGAATATGTGTTTGCATGTGAAATATGTTTCTTTGAAAATATTCTTTGAATCCAGTTATTTCAAAGACGAATAAATTATATGTCATTATGGCTTCCTTCATATTGCATGTACAGCTATTATAAAATCTTCTTGTGTTAAAGTTAAAGCTATTCATGTAGTAGTAGTTATTGTTGAACTTTTAAGATGCTATGCTTATTTTTGCTATGTGGAGGGAGAAAGTCCAAGGCTTCTATCTATGTTCCATCTCCCTGGAGCACCCACTCCCTTGTTCTTTTTGCCTGAATAACTATTATTCATCAAATCTTAGTTGAAATGTTACTTCTTCAGGGGAGTCTTTCTGAGCCCCTCTTATAGATCTAGTAAGTTTCCCTTTTGTATGTTTCACAGCACTCTGTGTTTCCCATTTGTAACACAAATCGTAATTGTAACTAAACATTTTGCAGAGTTATTATTTGTTTAATATCCAACATCCTGAAAGACTGAGTTCTAAGAGAGCAGGTACTTCTTTCCTCTATATTCCCAGCAACAAACACCACAACATGCACCTGTAGACACCTATTTTTGAAGCAAATGAACAGATGAATGAGTGCTAAAATTGAGTGAACCATTAAAAAAAATGCTGATGATCTTTTAATTAGTAATTCTCATTAAGTGATAAGTTTCATTGCAGCATAATTTCTTATTTTTTTCTTAGAAGCTGTTTCTGTTGAAATTTAGTAAGATCCTCTTTTCAAAACAATAACAAAAATGAATATATTTCTCTCAGCACACTTTTTATAAGGTGACACTGGGATATCTTGTAGAATATCAGGATAGCAAGTGTTGGAATTATGCAGCAATCAGAGGATGGAATTTTTGAAACATTTTTAGATGAGTGTAAAGAAAAGAAATTGAGCGCATGTTCCTGACACGGGGAATAGGTATTTAATAAAATAAATATAGTTTATAGATCATATGGGGCTTTTCTATGCCTGAAAGAAGAGACATTGGCTGATTTTAAAGAAAAAAGTGAAAGTAATTATGTTTATTTTCATTAGTTTAGGTGCTCTTAGTTAAGACTTTGGTGTAGGCTACCTCTCCATAGGATGAGCTTCAGTGAAATCATCTTTAAATGCAATCACAGCATTTCATTAATTTACATATATAAATTATAAAATATACACATATACGCAGTCCCATCTGTAACAAACTTTTTACAAAATGCTACTAGAAACAGTTTTAATAATGTGAACCTTTCCAATGACAAATGCTTTGACTTTCTTCTTATATGTCCACAAGTCATCAGATAAATTTACCAGGGGTGTTCCACAAATAATGAGGAAGAATACCATTTGTGTTCATAAATTTAGTCAGTTTGTCTGGGTGGAAGGATCAAATATCATGTCTATAATTTTTTTTAAGATATGTGGTTTCGAGACTTCTAATAAACTTGATATGCATTAAAGTAGACAAGAGTAGGCAAAAAAAAAAAAAAAATGCTTTCCTAAAGATCCAAGTCGTTTTTGATAACTGTTTAGATGAATAATAATCTCACCAGAGGTGATATTTCACATGTAACGATATTGAGATACATGTTCAAAATATCAATATGTTGCATAATATTTAAAGCATATTCAGTAGCAACAGTTTTAAAAAATTCTAATGAGATACATCTCACCAACAAGTACATTTATAAATGGAAAAGCAAAATTTAAATGGCATTTGAGATTAGTTTCATGCATTCTATCTAGTATTATCATTTTATCTCAATACACAGATTTCCACAGAGATATATAACTAGGTCATAATACAATCTCCACTCTTATTACTAATTAATTATGTGCAAATGGAAAGAGCACTGATGGCAAAAATTTGCCAACCCAACAACACTTGAACCATGGAGGGTTATATTGCCAAGTGTTGAATTTGTCAGTTCTCAAATTATAAAAGATTAAGTCACAGACAGTATTCATATTATGGCATCATATCTGTAAAAACTTACTATGATTTATTAATGTGTTAGTCATTGGTCATCATTAACCCTATAGAAAGTCAAAAGTGTCAGTCAATTATTCCCTATTAGAGGACTAGCCATGGAAAAAACCCTTGGAGGTCTCAATCACCTAACATAATAAATTTTTATGGTCACATTTACTTATAGTAAAATGTACTCTACCAATATGTAACTAGAATATTATTGAAATATAATGTTACTATATGAGTTATGGATGGCAGACTAATTCACTGAGACATCAAAATTACAGTGGCAAAGCATTTTACGTGTTGTATAATTCTTGTGATGTAGCAGTTTCTTTCTTTCTTTTTTTTTTTTTTTTTTTTGATATGGAGTCTCACTCTGTCACAAAGGCTGGAGGGTAGTGGCCCAATCTCAGCTCACTTCAACCTCCATCTCCCTGGTTCAAGCAGTTTTCATGCCTTGGCCTCCCAAATAGATGGGATTACAGGCCCCTGCCACACCATGCCTGACTAATTTTTGTATTTTTAGTAGAGACGAGTTTTCACCATGTTGGCCAGGCTGGTCTTGAACTCCTGATCTCAGGTGATCTGCCCGCCTTGGGCTCCAAAACTGCTGGGGTTACAGGGGTGAGCCACCACACTGGGCCTGATGTAACAGTTTCACTTGGTTATTAAATCAGTAAAAGTCTAGGAAAATTGTGACTTTTCTTAATCAAACCTCTCTGCTATGCACACATGAGGATAAACGGTGTGCAATCGAATTTATTTTGTAATGTCATAATTTGTCTTGTGTTGAGAAGTCAATATCAAACAAACGTACTTCTGAGCTCAATACTACACTGTTTATGATGAAACCAAATATTACCTCTTCTATTTCTGGCAGTTGTTATCTTAGTAATGCCCATCCTAAGTCATTAAAACAGTAATTGAAAAATATTTGTTAACTACTATAATTTTAGTTTTTATTATTCATCAAAATAAAGGACTGCTCACAAAGTAATCTTGTATCATTTATGAACAATCATTACTACACTACAAAGCAATTGAAAATACCTATTTCCATGAAAAATAATTGTAAATATATTTATTAATATAGTTCTAATGGATTTTAAATGAAATAGCACAATATGCAAGAAACTCATATT